AAATTTGCATTAAAAGCCATACTCCCCAAATCCATGAGCTCCTCAGAGGAAAAAGACTAGGAAGTCATTCTAGATATCTCAAGGTCTTCTAACTTCTTTGTGAAAGTCCATTGTATGCCCCTTGGTTGTTCTGTGGTCTCTCTCATTACCCCATCTACTACCAGTAAAAGGATCATGGGTTACACAAGGGATCCTTGTCTGACACCAGTATTAACCTCAGATGGCGTAGTCAGTTTGCTGTTATGTATTATTTTGCATGTCGTATTTTCATAGAAGCTCTGAATGATGCAAACTGTATTAATCAGGGCAATTAAACTTCAAGATATGTGGCACAAGCTGGTTGGGAGGAGGGGCTACAGCTATGGTAAGCCCAGCAAGTGGAATGCAAAGCCCTGTAGGCTCTCACTTTTGCCTCTTTCCTTTCAACTGCTCCAACTCCACATGTGAGTGGAACCTCAATATGAAATTGACTGGCTCTTTTGACAGTTTCATTTTGAGTCTCAGCCTCACCTGGGAACAGAGAAAAGTGATGCTGACAAGGTATCTTGCCAATTTCACGTTGAGGTTCCATTTGCAAAGGAACTGCTATCCTGTATCAGACCTAGGGGCCTCATATCTTGTCTCCCACGGTAGCCGGTACCCAATATTTTAGAAGAAGGTGCAATAAGCTGTAATAGGCAATAACTTGTCCACAAGGAAAGCTATTTTCCTAACCCTCAGTAATTAAAAACTAGTTCATGTCCTGAAATATGAGGCCGTATATCTCTTCCAAAACTTTTCTGGGTTTGTTTTAATCTTACCTTTAGCATCTCTGGATCTGTATGCTATCCATGGATATTTTCCCATTCTTTTTTTAAATCTGCTCAGCTTTTGGCCTGACTGATATCTTGTGACAATGAGTTCCACAGCCTAATTTGTGTTGCAAAAGAAAGTATTTCCTTTGATCAGTTCTAAATTTTGTTGCTTTTTCGTTTAATTGAACATGTGGGGAGGAAAAGATGTGAGGATGGTCTGAGCAGAACAAGTTACTAGGAAAAAGAGCAAATTCTAAGCAGAGCAGGCTAATAGGTGCAGCATAGCATGATGGGCATAGAGAGGCAAAGATGTAAAAGAAGGAAGGAAATAGGAAAGGGAGGCATATTCTGGAATGAAAAAGAGAGAGAAACAAGAGAGCAGGGGAGAAAGAGAAGAGAAAAGATGGAAACTGAACAAAAAAAGGAACAAAAATAGAAGAAGGGACAGATACATCACTTATGATGTTACTAAAACACTGTGAAAAATGAATTTGTTTAACGGCTCATCTGTACTATTTGTTTCTTTGCAACTATTTAATAAACAAATGGTGTTGTGAATTTTTTAAAGTTCCCTTAGTGCATGCCAAGGTCTCAAAAATAATAGTGTGTTTGAGGTACTCAGCAGTAGGAAGACCTCTGAATCCTGGCATGACCTGATTGCCTGATGTTTGGCATACCTATAGCATTTAAGTTAGCTAGGCACTTCATGGGATTTGGGGTCTTTGGCTGCAGTATCAGGTGTTGTCCACTGGTAGCAGCAGGAAACGTGATTAGATGGATCACTTATAAGGTCTGGCAAATCTTACGCATTTCTGTTAAATGTGGGAAATCTATCTATGTCTTTTTATTTCCTTACCTCCTTCCTCCTCAGAATGTCTCTGTGTTAGAAAATCATCACTGGAGATCAACAATAGGCATGCTTCGAGAATCAAGGCTCCTTGCCCATCTACCAAAGGAAATGACGTAAGTGCCACCCATGTGAAACATGCTGATAAATTCCATGGAGAACAAACCAATGGCCTATTTCATTGCTTGATTAAAAACCATAAGCAGAGAGGCCAAAGGCTGATTGTAGGCTGAGCTAGTGTCTCACCTGCTCCTGAAGGTGATGTAAAGCACATTGGCCTGGTAGCGTGGGATGCACCTGGGCTGGGGCTTCATAGGAATATTACCTAAAAGTTTGTCACTGTTGCTAATACTTGCTCAGCTGCACCAATATTAGCATTGTTAGCAGTCTCAATGCTGAGAAGGCACCGATGGCCACCCATTGTGGGGTTGTTTTTTTTTACACCATATCAATTAAACCTGCTCAGCATTAGTGTTAACAATGGTGGGAAATAGAAGACACCGCTAGTGTAGATATGCCCTAGGTGTCTCCCACACCCTACCAGAAGAATGTGCTTCAAATCTGACTGTCTCTGAGCAGAGGGAGATAGCAAAGTCAGCAGAAAGAACAGAGACTGAATGTAGGCGGAGCTGACTGTAGTGTGTTGGTTTTTGCTGTAGTTGTTTGTGTGTACGTGTGCACAGTATTGATCCTTGGGAAATGTATGGAAACACATTTTTCACACGAACCACCAAGCAGCTCTCCAGTGTTACGTTTTAATCACTGGTGACTTGGGAAGAATACAAACAGATTATATAGAAAGGACAGGCTTTCTATCCCATTAGTAATTTCCTAAATCATCCAATCCCCTTCTTCTCAGTCCTTCTTTAAAGAAATAATGTACAATGCCTTGGCGTTTGTGTGGCTGCCAATCTAAAACCCTATGACATTAATTCTTCTAGATGCCTTTCGTGTTCACCCAATAACACATCCTGCTGTTTAGTTTGCATTCTTCACAATACTTTATGGAAGCTCCCTGGGCAATTTACACCAACATGATTATTCTGCCACACTGCCTATTCCACATGCATCCCATTGCCAGCTAAACTGCTGGTCTCCTGCAAGCTATCCCAATGGAGAACAATGAAGTGGAGTCCATCTGCTAGCTGGAGTCATCACAAAATACTTAGAAGGAGGCAGACTATGAAGTGGTTTAAAACCATTGATGTTCAACAATCCCATATTCAAAAGGGCTCATTTTTCTTGCCTACAGCCAGGATATCGAACAGCAGCTGGGCTCCCTCATCTTGGCAACAGACATCAATAGACAGAATGAGTTTTTGACCCGGTTGAAAGCTCACCTCGAAAATAAGGATCTGAGATTGGAGGATGCACCAGACAGACATTTTATGCTGCAGGTACTTTTTTTTCCTTAAAGGAACAGTGTATGTATGTTAGCTCAGCCTCAGGGTACCCTTTACCCGCCATCTTAATTGCTTTGCTGCTGTCACCTAACATGTTTCAAAGCAAGCAAAAACATACCTCCAGTACTTCCCAATATACCAAGTGTTACATTATAATCCGAATATAGCAGATGCAGCAAAGGATCAACTATTATTCACCTCTTGAGTTGCAGGCCACTTTGTCTCTTGCCATGTCTCTCTCCCCTTGACTATTTCCCCTGTCATCAGGGCCGGCGCAACCCATTAGGCGACCTAGGTGGTCGCCTAGGGCGCTAACATTTGGGGGGCGGCGACCGCGGCAGCCGGATCTTCAGCCGCCGCGGTCGTCGGTGGTATTTTGGGGGCTGGACCTTCCGCTGCCTCTGTCAGGAGTGGCATTTCAGGTGCGGGACCTCTGTTGGGGGTGGCATTTTGGGGGCGGGACCTTCCGCCGCCTAGGGCGGCAAAAAAGCTGGCGGCGCTCCTGCCTGTCAGGGCAACTGCTACTTCAGCAGAAGGTAGGAAGCTCAGTCTCTTACTCCAGCCACTGACAATGCTTTTTCACAGAGGAGTTGGTAGTAGGTGCCTGAGCAGTGGTCACTTCGTTGATGCTCCTAATCTCCATCTGCATGGAGGAAACCACTGCCGTGGCAGTTCTTCCACAGATAATGAAAGAACCAAATCTAATTTAAAATCAAATGGACTCAAATTGCTTCTTCCAGCTATACTGCAGTAGTTAATGGTATCTTCAGAACAAATTTCCACCCATTACATCACCTTCACTATTAACCTAAAGGTAGCTGTATGCTGCATTTTTTCTGTAGAAATAGCACCACACGAAGCTGCCTGCTCTTAAATAGCTCCTAAATAGCTTTTATCATACAAAACACCTCAAGTAATTATCATCCGTTAAAAACAAACTCTAATCGCTGCCAGCTTAAAATGCTTTGTTGAGGTACTGCTGGGGTCGGGTGAGGGAAGGAATGGTATTCAGGTAACTATTCCTTCAGAAAAGTAATATATGAACTAGTTTGCCTATCTTGCCTCCTTGAACAAAATGTCTTAGGCCTGGTTTCTTCATGGACCACTACATTTAGGCAATGGGTTTGTAATCATGCTTCACGACAGATCAGGCAAATTGATGGTGCAAAATGCAGCATTGGTTCTAGTGGAGAAAACATGAAAAACAACTGTTCTTTCCTGTGAAAATTCATACTTGTGAATTGGGGGAGGGTGCTACCACTTCCTCAAGGTCTCTTGGATTAAACTGACTGCCTCAATATTACTTATAAAACATACTTTAGTAGTTTACTTCTTTATACCCATTTTACAGATGAGGAAACTGGGGCTCAGAGAACATAAGTGATTTTCTTATGGTCACAAAGCTAGTTAGTGTCCAGCCAGAATTAGAATGCAGGTCTCTTGCTTTCTTGTCCCATGTCTAAATGACTAGAGTCCACGGTGCCTACCAAATAAGTTGCACCCTTTCTCCACCTCCATTTATTTTCTAGAAAGGAGGTAATGACCTTTACCATAGGTGAAATCTGCAATCCCTATGTCTTTGGCATCTGCACCAGCATTTTGCCCTATCTGTCATGAAGTCTAATAATAAACCCATCAACTAGACATACTTTGTCCAGGAAGAAAGCACACAGAAGACATTTTGTTTCAAGGAGGCAAGACAGGCAGATTATTGCATATCTTACTCTTCTGAAGAAGCAGCAGCAGCTACTTGATTATAATTCCTTCCCTTGCCAATCCTACCCCAGCTCTACCTCAGCAAAGCATTTTCAACTGTTAGCAAGGTAAAAACAAGTCAGGGCAAACCACAAGGTCCTTTGCTTAGCTCAGTAAACAAAAACACAGCTGACCCTCTGAGCTGACTGTATACACATATTAAACCCAAGCATAATCAAAGTGATATGTAAGGTCACTCACTGACACCATAAAGAAGTGATGCCCAAATAGTTTCACACTGGCTTGGCTCTTCATTTCCTTGTCCTCATTGATGGATGCCAAGGCAGGCAGTCAGCAGGAGTCAGCCTGAAGCTTTTGTTGGCTTGCCCACCACCAGTCATATCCAAGAGGCTGTGCACACTTGGAATGTGGTGCTTCTCTCGTTCTCGCTACTATAAAATGGGGCTCTGAATGAAGGTTTTGTTACAGGCTTGAATAAGTGCTGTTTCCTGAAGCGGCACATTTGGGCAGGGCTCAGTTTCTATAATGTATTCTTGAATCCATCTTGGCAGCACGCTTGCAGGGCCCAGCAGTTTCACGGCACCTCAGAGTGCAATAAATTCACTGCTGAACGATCGCTAGCTAATCATTTCTTCTCCCCACCACCACTCTCCTCCTTTACTTTCAGATCGCGCTGAAGTGTGCTGACATTTGCAATCCTTGCCGGCTCTGGCAGATGAGCAAGCAGTGGAGTGAAAGGGTCTGTGAGGAATTCTACCGGCAAGGTCAGCCCTCTGACATACTGAATTCTCCTTTCTCTTTGTTCTTTAAGGCACTTAATGTGATAAGAGAGAAATTGGCTAATCTCAAGTGGCGTTTGCTCTGCAATCAACTACCCAATTCTCCTCTGAAATCTCCAAAAAAATATGATGACGAGCAGAAATGTGGCCTTATTTTGCACGTGGTTGGTAGTGAGGGGCAAGAGGAGGAAATGAAATAGAAGAGAAGCGGGTATTTCTTTGATCTGATTGCCCCTGTAAGACGGTGTCAGTGAGGGTGGTTCTGCTGTGCCTTGAACCTTTAATTAACTGTACAAAATCTCTGGTCATTGTTATCCGCTCTGAGCTGAAACTCCCATGGGTATGTACTGCTCAGAAATTACACAGCCATCACTTGTTTTCCTTTGCTTTCCAAAATATAACTACAGTTCCTACCGTTAGAGTGTTACATTTGCTTTTTCCTTCTCCTCTACTTACAGTTGCAGGAAACTAGACACAGTCTGAACATGCTCACCATTAAGCCAAGTTCTAATGAAATCTAGGGGGCCTAACTGTAAACATTTTCTAACCCCTACTAAGAGCAAAGCTAAACATGGTTTTTAACATGGTAACGACATACCATTTGGCTCCATCTGCACTGGCCAGGCCAGATTGTGCTATAACACAGTGAGGATGTAGTGGAATTTAATCACTGTTAAATCCTTTTTTAGTAGTATTAACAGAGCCTAAAGGAAGGGGTGAAGATGGTAGAAGAGCAAGCGTAGTGCTCTGGCGTACTGAATTTATTGACATTTCATGTCCACACTACAAATTTAAACCAGAACTGAGCATGGTTGTCAGCAATAGCTGGCCTTTATAGGCAGTTTCACACCAGAGTAGTCACATGGTGGTAAAAACGCCCAAGCCAATCCACACTAGTGCTTATACCACTGCTAGCATTTCAAACTCTCATATACTTCATCCTGGGTTTTCTTAGCTGTGTTGTCCCAGAGAGTACAGCTGTCTCGGCAGGTCATGGGTTGAGATAATTCCACTCTGATTTCGATGAACCAGAGGATCATCCTGCTTACAGTTATTTCCTGTGACATCTTAAATTGTTGGTTTTATTTGTTTAGGCGTGTATAACAGGCCCTGCCTCAGATTTCTAACTGCAGATTTCTATGTGGAACCATTGTATGATCATGTTGAGACTTGCAGTCTCTCTTTAAAACGGTGAGGTCCATCAGGGCATCAAATGGAGATGAAATGTAAGGGTTAATTCTCCTAGGATTTGCTGTTCCATCCATATTATAAGGAATAAAAGATCATATTCAATATTGCCAAGTGGCAAAAATGTTGTTCTCCTTTCTTTTTGGTAGGTGATCTGGAACAAAAATTTGAATTGGAAATAAGCCCTCTTTGTAATCAGCAGAAGGACTCCATACCTAGTATACAAATTGGTGAGCTTAACTTTCATTCTTTTGTCTCTTTCTCCTCCTCCCCCCCCTCCACCCTGAAGGTGCAACACAAGCTAAGCAGAAGATAGCTGTGTAGTTTTATACCAAAAACTTCAATAACCCCAGGAGTAACATTGGATGAAAATAAAACCCATTTGCCAAGCAGGCCAGATAAACCAAGAGCAAGGCTGAGTGCAGCCGTAATATAAACAAGCAAAGGAGTGACACAGCGGCGAGGATGAATGGTCCTCAAAGAGAAGTTCAGACAGCTGCAGCATCATCCCACTTAGTGAAATATGCCACTTGTTTGCTGTGATAGTCCTGAGTGAAGTAAAGGGTTTCGTGAAACCTTTTACCTATTTAGTGCCTCCCAGTTAAACTAACTCAAACCCTGCTTCCCATTCTGACCTCCCACAAAAATCCCCACTAAATACTCCATAATCCAGTACTCATGCTGCAATGGGCATGTAATCTAGTTAGCGAGCCAGTGGAAAATGGTTTCCCAAGGACTCTGAATGAATCATTCATTGTTTTCCATGAGTTCTCTAGAGTCCTGATTTTCCTCCTTTCCTTCTTCCTCCAAGTTCTCACACTGCAACCAACCATGGTCTGCTAAGACTAGCAGGCTGCAGTGCACTGAGCAGCAGGGGGACTGGAGCGGATCCATCCAAAGTGACACAGGCTTTCCCTCCGCCACAAGAACTGAATTTGCTGCCTCCACAGCCTTCCCATCCCAGAAATGGGCTGAAGGTTAAGCTCAGGCTCCAGTGCACTCTTTGTAGACCACCCAAACAGCCCAATGGTTTATTTTTACTCAGTGTTTTCAAAATGCACTTTGTTTCAGACAATGTGCATGACTGAGCAGTTGTGTAACCTTTCAGATACTGTGCCAAACATTCACCATTGAAGAATTGTGTTCTTTACATTTTGTTTGCTCCTTCTCCCCTACTCCAAGCCATGAAACACATGAGCTGGAAACAAGTTGAAAAACATGATAGTAAATAACTGATGGTTTTGAATCTCCCTTTGTAATTGCTTTGAGTTGGGCAATTCTGATTCACTCCACCACTGAGATCAAGTTCATCTTAGCTGATATGAAACATTGCTTTGGAATAATCTTTTCCTACAGAGCAGCAGCATTAGTAACAGATTTCACAAAGAGTGAAATTGAAACAGACCTTTCTAGATTGTGAGATTCACATAGGGAATACAAATAATTATGTTAGCAGTGGCTAAATAAGGCAATACTAGAAAAACCAAGGGACATTCAGCTCTTCACATTGTTGGGTTCAGACCATACCCCTAATAGCACCATTGGTTCCAGCAGGCACTGACACACAGCAATGATGTTAATTGTACCAGCCCTTTCCCAATGTACATATCAGGAGTTATTACCTTCATGAGATTGGGATTATATATCAATGGCAACATTCAGGCAAATAGGTTTGCTTGTCCAAAACATTGCTTCACTTTTTCCTTACGGTGGTTCTCTCTTACCATATGTGTGAGACGCAAACCTCTGAGAAAGCCACCAGATGCCAGGAAGCAAGGAACCAGGAGTCAGAAAACCCAGGTTCTAATTCTAGATTTGACACTCTCCTTTTCTGACCTTTGACCTTCTTGGGCCTCAGTTTCCCTACTTGTAAGGCAAGGATAACCATAACTATTCATATGTGTGTGTTATGAGGAGTAATAAATGTCTGAAGCTGTTTTGGGCCAGATGCTAACTACCTTTATTTTTCTTATTTCAGTGAAAATTAGAGCCTTTTTTTAAGAGGCTCCGATTTCTTCTCAGATTAAGTTTGTGAAGATAAATGAGGGAAGTAACACAGTATTGGCAGAAATATATAAGCAAGGAACTCAAAAGTATACGTACGGACATAGTTTACTGAATTATATATAAATTAATATTCCAGAATGCCACTTACTGTGAAAATGAGTAAATATAATAAAAAACAAAAAAGATATATTGATATATTTTTAAAATACAGCAAAACATCTCTGATCAGCACTACTTCACACAATATGGTTGTTTCACCTTGTTTCTCAGCTAAGATTGAACAGGAAAGTGCTATAGCGTGGTCTCATTAGAATATTAAGACTTGATTGGTGATATGTGTAATACTTCTGAATTGTAGTAAATGTTCCATTTTGTAAAAGTAAACTAAATATGTCTGATGAACAGAGCACATTTTATGATGCATTATGCTTGCATTGTGTTGGTTCATTTATTTACAAAATTCTTTTAATCTGCCATGGGTCTCCCAGTCAGCAGTGCAAATTTATAAACATCTCCTATGCTGCATTATTACACAACCAGTGCAATCAATAGCTTCAGGAGAAACTGAAAGCAGAACTTTAGTTTAACAGCCTGCTTTTGAGATCAAACTGCAGTCATGGCCTTCATTTGTTTTCTCTTCCATCAAAAGTGATTTTGGTCATATAAAAAAGTATTAAATCCTCCTCAGTTAGAGATGTAATTAAAATATTCACTGTGCCTGTGCACACTTTTGCTACCATAGCTGCTGCAGGGTGAAAAGTGATGTGGATGATAAAATCCCTCCCTCTATCCACAGGTTCGAAAAATGATACAGTACCTTCCCAACATTCAGAGATACTAGATCATTTCCATGTTATAGACCAACATACAGCTCTAACCCACTATCCTGGCATGCACACTGCCATACACAAAAGGGCCATTCTGTGACCTTTTAATCCAGTTTATGTTACAAGAACCCACAGCCTCTGACTAAACAGAACCAAAACCCAAAACATTAATTGTGCTGCTGCAGCTCTTTCCAAATAAGAGCATAAGTTCATTTTTGACTCAGGGATTTGCACTTGGACTAAGCTTTGTAAATAACTCCATTAATGTACAGCTCAGAAGTAGACCATAAGAGTCATGATTCACATGGTATATACAAAAAGAACAGGAGTACTTGTGGCACCTTAGAGACTAACAAATTTATTAGAGCATAAGCTTTCGTGGACTACAGCCCACTTCTTCG